TATTCTACTCTGCTCGGAATTTGTATTGTCCGGTCCGTTATGGTGAGTACTGTCATTTCCGGTTTTGATCTGTATGGGTTTGTATGTGGGGTCCAATTTTATATGATTGTTGATTGAAGTATGGGCAGAGAACCATGCCTCTGGGAATTCCCAAATTATGTTTGGCTTGGGCTACCATGGTTACCTTGACCCAGTTAAATTGGTGGCCTTCATTGTCTGAATGTACCGATATTAAGGAGAGTTCGTCCTGCCATTTTGCTGCTAGCTGATGTTCGTGTATTCTAATGTCTAGATGACAAATGTGTCGTCCATGTATCGCCATTCCACTAGCCAAAGAAACAGGGGCTATATTACTAGGGGAAACAGCAATGCAGACCAGCAACTTCATCAGCAAGGACAACATACTTAAATTACTAGATCTCTGCCTCACCACACACTTCGTCTTTAATGGTCAGATATACAAACAGATCAATGGTATACCAATGGGGTCACCCATCTCAGGACTCATTGCAGAAGCAGTCATGCAAAGACTAGAACACACCACCCTCCCCTACATTCAATCTAAACTGTAGATCCGGTACATAGATGACACATTTGTCATTATTAAACACAACAAGTTAGAAGAGACCCACCACCTCATCAACAATGTATTCACAGGGATTAAATTCACAAGGGAAGAAGAAAACAACAATCAACTTCCATTTCTAAATGTTAAATTAGAACGATGGACAAATGGAGAGTTCCAAACCTTAGTATACGGAACAACAACCCATTTGGATCAAATCCTCAACTTCCACAGCAATCATCCCAATGTCCAAAACAAAGCTGCATTAGGACACTACTTAAATGAGCCAGGATACATTGCAACACTTCAGAACTACGGAGGAAAGAGGAAGAACACTTATACAAGATCCTTGCTTTAAACAGATATCTCTGCAACTTTATCTGCAGATGCCTACAAAACAGACAACAACAGGAGGACACAGTATGACCTAACACACTGAACACACTGCCCTATATCAAGAACATATCGGAACTGATAACAATATTCTTAAGACCTCTAGGAAACATGGTGGCCCACAAGTCCACAGCCACTCTACAACAAATACAAGAATTAAAGACCCCATTCCCACAACATGCAGAACAAACGTGGTTTACAAAATACCATGCAATGACTGCCACAAACATTACACTGGACAGACAGGAAGGAAACTAGGCATCACAATACACGAACATCAGCCAGCAGCAAAATGGCACAACGAACTCTCCTTAACATCGGTACATTCAGACAATGAAGGCCATCAATTTAACTGGGAGAAGGTAACCATAGTATCCCAAGCCAAACGTAGACACACACGGGAATTCCTAGAGGCATACTTCTCAACCCATACTTCAATCAACAAACATATAGAATTGGACCCCATATACAAACCCATACAGATCAAAACCGGAAATGACAGTACTCACCATAACGGACTAGACAGTATAAATTCCAAGCGGAGTAGAATAACACCGCTTTATAGGAGACTCCACTGATTATGTCACCTAGCATGGTGACGAAACGTCTGAACAAAAACAAGCCAGGTTGGCAAGCAAGTCAACAACCTCATCCATAACCCGAGCTACAGATCTTTGCCAAAACTCCTCAACGTCAGTTCCCCACATTATCTCCATATCCTTAATGTCATTTTCTCCACATCCCTTAGTGTCCAGAAACCTGCTGATTTCTGTCTTGAACTTGCTCAATGGTTGAGTTTGCATTTCCTTCTGGGGTAGAAAATTCCAAAGATTTACCACTTTCTGAGTGAGGAAATTCTTCCTCATTTAGTCTTAAATTGCTTGCCCCTTACCCTGCCATTAACTCCATCTTTACTTCCCACTGGCTCAGGAAAACAACTGACATAATCTAAGACCCCTCCCACCCCGGGTATACTTTCTTCTACCCTTTTCTGTCTGTAGAAGATATAAAAGCTTCAATACACATATGAACAAGAACAGCTTCTTCTCTGCTGTTATCAGACTTTTGAATGGATCTCTCAAATGCTCATGTTGATCTCTCTCTCTGCACCTTCTCTGCAGTTGTAACAATGTATTCTGCACACTGTTCTATTACCCTGATGCACTTTGAGTGGTACAATCTGCCTGTACATCGTGCAAAACAACAATTCTCACTGTACCTTGGTACACATGACAATAATAAATCAAACCAAAGAGTCACCACACAGAAGAAACATCCTATTTTCATCCACCTGTCATGCCCTTGAAAATTTTGTAAGTTTCAAATGAAATAACCTCTCATCTTCAAAACTTTAGAGAATTAAGACTCAATTTCCTCAATCTCCCCTCATAATCATCATCCCAGGAATTAACCTGGTGAATCTCTGCTACATTCCCTCTGAGGCAAGTATATCCTTCCTTAGATGAGGAGACCAAAAATATACACAATATTCCAGCTGAGATTTGACCAAGGCTCTATACAACTGCAGCATACCATCTTTAATTCTTTACTCAAAACCTTTAAATGGAATATAAACATACCTGTTGCTTTTCTAAGTGCTTGCTGCACCTGCATCTAGCTTTTAGTGACTCATTGACAAGGATACCCAAAATTTTTTGACACATGTACTTCCTAATCTCTCGTCAGTTAAGAAATATTTTGCCTTCTGTTTTTTTTTCCCTAATAAAATTATTAAGTTGACACTCATTTACCCTATTTTCTAGGCCACTCACTTGGTCATTTCCTTGCACCATCCTCACAACTTATGTACCCACCATGTTTGGTGTCATCAGCAAATGAGGAATAATTATAAATAAATCCCCGAAAAATTCAGCAGGTCTGGCAATGTCTGTGGAGAAAGAAACAATGTTAATAAGTCTGATATGACTTACTGAATTTCTCCAGCATTTTCTGTTCTTATTTCAGTTTTCCAGCATCTGCAATATTTTGTTTTAATTATTATGCAAATATTACATTTCGTTCTCCATCCAAATCATTTATACAGATTGAGAACAGTTACGGGTTTCACAGCAACTCTTGTGGTATCTGACTAACAGACAGCTATCCTGAGAATGATTGTTTATTCCTACTCTCTGCCTTCTTAATCCATATTAGCACTCTAATTTTAGTTACTAACCTCCTGTCTGGAACTATATCAAAAGACTTCTGAAAATCCAAATATGACACTTCCATTGTATCTTTATTTTATGCCAGCTGTAACATCCTCAAAAAACTCAACATGTTTGTCAAATATGATTTCCCTTTCATAAGTCCATGGTAACTCAGTCCAGTTATGCCATTATTTTTGAAATGTTCTGTTATCACATCCTTTGTATAATAGATTCTAACATTTTCCCGACTGCTGATAGCAAGCTAACGGATCTCAATTCTACCTCTGAATGCACATTTAGTTGTCTTATGGACCAGACCAAACGTCCTCAAATTATATACTAGAAGATAGCTTCGACCCTCATTTTCCTTATTTTAAAGGTTAATTGTAGGCATTGCATTCCAGATGCAATTCGATTGGTCAAGCTACTGGATTCATCCACTATAGTTAAAATACAACAAAAGAAAGAAGGAATTGTAATAACTTAACTCTATTGGAAAACTAAACAGAATAACAGATATAGTAACAATTGCCTAATTAACTGTTCCAATATAGAAATATCCCAGATACACACCCTTGACAAAAGGCGAATTCACGAAACAGATTGTCTCACATGCAACCCCAGGAGCAGGAAGAGAACCCCCAGCTTTTGGCTGCAAACAAGGGAGGGAAAAAAAATCACTTCCACTTCTTCAAGACCCCAACAACAACTGCTGACAACTAAAACTAAAAATCCTGGTTCTGTGGGAGCTTGACCACACCCTTTCAAGCTGTTTCTATTGTTCCAACTATTAAAAAAAAACAAGGTCTCACAAGCTGTTTACTCTTGGGGCTCTGGTAGACTGCTCTGCATCTCTGCCTTGAAACTGCGGTTCAAAAAAAAAATCAGGACAAAGTATACCTGTTAAAGCCACAGTATCATCATAGTTGTGAGTAATAAAAACTGTTATTCAGTGAACTTGAGCAGACCAAAAGGGCAGCATGGTGGCTCAGTGGTTAGCACAGGGACCAAGGTTCGATTCCAGCCTTGGACAAATATCTGTGTGGAGTTTGCACATTCACACTGTGTCTATGTGGGTTTCCTCTGGATGCTCTGGTTTCTTCCCACAGCCCAGAGATACACATGTTAGGTGGATTGGCCATCTAAATTGCCCATAGTATCCAGGGATGTGCAGGCTACGTGGATTAACCCTGGGAAGGAAGAGTCACAGGGATAGGGTAGGGGGGTGGGTTTGGGTGGATACTCTTCAGAGGGGTGATGTGGACTCAATGGGCAGAAAGGCCTGCTTCCACACTGTAGGGATTCTGTGATTCTAAGTTCATGAAACAAGCATTGAATCAGCCATCCTGGCTGTATGGTGTCATGGTAGGACTCTTCTAATGTTTTTGATGTACGGGCTGCATTCCCATCATTAGCACACTACACAGGATGGGTGGCCTCTTGTCGTTGTTGGGAGCAGCTGGATGCGCAGGTTACACCATTTTAAGTCTTCAGTGTTTTTGTAACACCAGCAGCAGCGGTAATATGGAATCCAATTTCATGGCTTTCTTTTGTGAAAGGAAGTGATCCATTCAAATCTCAGCTTGACTTTACAGCTTGTGAACATTTGTCTGTATTAGCTCCCAGAAAGATTCAAAAGGCTGTGGATGTTGCTGCATTAATTAGGATTAACAAAGGTCAAGTGAAAATGATTAGATAATCATACTGAAATATTGACTTTTTCTCCTAAACATAGCTGAAGCATTGAAAATGTTCTGATTTCCCTGTGTAATGTTAGCAAGTGTGTGACATCTGTGTTTAGAGAATGATTTACTGTATCTAAATGCAAAGCAGCTCTTTCTGCCCAGGCTTGTTTGTTTGGTGATGCAAAGTCCTCAATCAGTAAATATGACTTATTGCCATATTAGAGACTTCCAAAATGGTTCAAATCAGGATTAAGATGCTTGCGTTTACGGGACTTCTTTTTCTGATTTTTCCATCTTTTGGTAAGTGAAACTAATAACCGATTTGGATGGTTTGTGACTACATATTATAATAAATTAATCATATTACCGCAATGTATATAGTTTTGGACAATACAAATTGATATACTGGATGATTAAAACAAAATAGAAGGGATCTGGATTTATAAGGCACACAAATCAAGATAATGAGTTGTGAGTGTTGAATATGTGCAGCAAAATCCAACATAGAAACCCAATTTCTTTGCAGATTTGTTTTTGCTATATTGAATAAAAAAGTTAAAAAATGCTGGAAATACACACATTTGCATATGCACAAAGCAGTTAGCTGTGGCTAAGTGCCCTGGGGCTCAAATTATTGTTGATTAGCTCCAGAGAATTAAAATCTATGTTGATTCTGCAGTGCAGTGCCTCATGAACACTAGAGATTCTGCTTTTTGAATAAACACAGGATCCATGTTGTCTTTCAAGTTGACTAATGGTTCCATGCTGTTAATTTTGAGAAGAGTGAGAGAGTTTGTCTCCTGTGTCCTGGCAAATTCCCTCAAGAACATCAATAAAATGGATTATCTGGCCATTATTGCTAATTGCAGGAGCTAGCTGTGCAACTGTGCCTACATTTCCAAAGTACTTCATTAATTTAAAGTACTTTGGTATCTGATGTCATGAAAGACACAACACAAATACAAATCTTTCTTCAAGGGAGAAGACAGGTTTGTGTTTAGACTGTAGATCCCTTGCCAGTACTGAGACTATGCAGACTAGTCTAATGTGCATTTCCCACATTGCAGTTTTTGACTTCTGATCACTTGGCTTAAAAGTTCTACAACACATGACATTTAGGTTCATTATTGGAAATGGGAGTGTGGAGGTTGTTGTTGTTGGTAAACACTATTCAACATCTTTGTTCAATAACATTTTCTCATCCTATAACATCTATATGTTCCTTCAGCCAGAGTGATTGAAAATGTAGTCACTTTTGTTCCACTGTTTGAGAGATTTTGACAGAGAACAAAAGATGTAAAAGATCCCGTAATACTGGTGTGTGCAAGTTGGCTGCCATGTCTCTCCACATTCCAACAAACCTCTATAAGTGCTTTATACCCAACGTTCTGCATACATTGCCTTGTGCTATTGGAAATGTGGCAGCCAATTTCAGCATGGCCACCTCTCACAAAAGGCAATGTAATAATAACAAGATTTATTTGTTCTAGAAATGCTGGTGGATGGGTAAATGTTGCCCAGACACTGGGAGAACGCTCCTTCTCTTCAAAATATGATGAAACCTATATTAATGGATATGTCCAATAAACAGATATGTTGAAGGACTAACATAACGGACAAGGGAAAACATACAACAGGCATTCTGAAATAACAGACAATCACAGATTACAAACTATGGACATCCTGTATTGCATCAAACCTTTATACAAATTGAAACAGGAGACATGCAGGTGAGTATGAGACAGTCATATATGAAGAAAATCAGCTTTTTGATGAGCACAATGCCTATTCCTCAGTGTAAAAAAACCATTCCATCTCTGAGAATGAATGTTTGGATGGATCTGTCCTAAATGCAGATGGCTTCTAATGCCACAATGGATGTTGGGCAAATAACTCCCATTGAAAGTCAGCCCCAGCAGCCTCAAATGAAGCTACTGATTTCACTGTAATGTGGTATGCTGCGTGGACTTTCCAGGGAGAGCAATCAAAATGGAACTCTTTGTAAAATTGACGCAGAGTGTGCTGACTGTTAGATTACAGATCTTAGAGGGAACGTGAAGGTTGATACAGGCCTTTTAACTGAAATTCCTGATTATGGACAATATAAAGGCTTTTATCATTTTCCTGCCTTTGTGGGAAAGGGTGTCAATTTGTCCCTTTAAAGATATATTTCCTGGTCTGTGGAGGTGAATATTCAAAGGCTTCAAATGAATCAAGCAGTGGAGTAGGGCAAGACAGAAACTGCCATACCCGTATCTAATTTAAAAGCAGTGATGAGCCATTAATGAAGATGCCTATGGTCCAGGACTGAGCATTGAAGTAATCTACTTTTTGGACAGAGTCATCTCAGAGCTGTGAAGACTCAGATGTCATTGTAGCTCTAACTGGTTGAGCCAAGGTTGCAAGGCTTTGTTGGCTAATATTGTATTGGAGTGCACTGTCTGATAGCCGCGCAATGTTCTGTATGAACGGGGAGAGTTAGCTGAAAGATGGGCATTTGGCACAAAAACAAAAAGATGGAGTAGTGGCTGCAGGCATCCTCAGCTGATGGTCTTTAAAGGATACATCATTGGGTTCCAGGATACTAAATAAGTAACAGTTGTCATGTTAATTCCCCAGTTTGAAATAATCTTGCTCAACATTTTACTGATGCCACACAGTGGGACCTCTCCAGTTTATGGACTAGCCTGGAGGTGACTAAACAGGTGGTGCAATTTGGGCTACAGTGAAGTCTCTGTCACTGAGCAATGAGTCAGGTAAAGAAAGGGCATTTTGCATTTTTGAGAGTTGCCCCCGTATTGAAGTGATGTTACAGTCTGTGTGTGGCTGTTCGTGACTCTCTGTAGCTCAGACTGGAACCCACAAGCTTTCTAAGCATTCCTTGATTATGCTGCATAGTTACCATCTGGCTGATTGATTTCAGAGCTCAGCTCCAGCTCATCTCTGTGCATGGCATTGGCTAAGCCCCAGTGAGGATTACAGCTTTGCGCCTCCCCTGATGATTCTTGCGCAGCTCACTGCTTTGAATGTTCCTGCATTAATTGGGATTAGCAGAAAGTTTTATGGGGTGAAGTGTCCACTATTGTTGCCACTAGGTAGTGAGATCATAAAGAAGACAGAGTGATTCTGTCCTCATAATGTTGAGTAACAATCTTTATAATTAATCACAATATAGATATAAATCGGTAGGAGAGAGCATTCCTAGAAACCTTCAGGCTCAGTCCTAGTTCCAAGAGGCCCTGACTTTACAGATGAAGTATGCTTTTCATTAGCATAATAGGATTTAGTCATTATCCTAAACCCACTAGTCTGTCAAATTGAGGAAACAGTGTGCAAACAGTGAGAAAATGAGTCTTTTCCAGTGGTAGCTCTACACCCAAGCACTTTTTCCAGAAGTTATTGCCACCTCCTTTCTCCTATGTCCCTACCATTGAATTATTCCCCTTGGCATCTGATGGTCAATCTGTTTCTTTGAGAAACTTTCCCTTTGCACAGTGGAGGTGGATTGTGGTCTTGGGTTTTATCATCTCTGCTGTTCTGTAAAGTGATTGGTAGGACTCAGCTGTCAATCAATTATCCTTCAGCCTTGCTGCTTCAGCAGAAGGGTTTGTTTTCCTCCTAATACAATATGATTTGTCATGCTTTCCAAACAATAAGCCATCCTTAAGATTTGTCTTCGGAACCTTCAAGACACTAGTGCAACCTATTATCACATTTCCCTTTATAATTTGTTCTGTGATTGCCTGAAAGCTGGCAAGTAGAACTGAGAGACATAGTTCATTACAGAAATTGCATTGTGCTCCAAGTAAGAGAGATTTGCAATGGGTCTTCAAGATTGTTTGGGACATTTTGTATTATAATTACCACTTTGAAAATAAGGACATCTGCAAATAAAGGTTAGCTTGAGTAAATTCTTAAGGTGGCCATAACTTATAGAGGCTAAGCTACGGGGCAGATGAGACCTTGGTTGGATGTTTCACCTGAAAGATAGCACCCCTGACAGTGCAGCACTCTGTCAGAACTACTGTCAGAAAACCAACGTTGCCCATATGCTGAAATCATTGGAATGGGCTTTGACCAGATGACCTCCTGATGGAAGCAAGGATTGTTAATGAAAATGTAACAGCATGATAATTGTTGGCTAGACTTACAAGGCATGCAAAAAAATACTGAATTTGAAGAGCTGAGTCAATGATATTCTCATTGCTCCACTAAAGAGATGAAAATTTAATGATGTAGCCAATGCACTTCAAGAAGAAAGGGAGGCAGTAGAATAGAAAATTGTCTTGACAATCCATTTTACACTCTGTATGATCTTCTTATGGGAAAGAAATCCCATTATAACCTGGATTAAATGTCTTGTATGACTTATGCAAGATCTCTAGATCTCTATATCTGGAATTCATATTTGGTTGGTCGTAAAATTATTTAATATGACTCCATTTGGGAGCTATAAGCATTAACAGTGCATATAGAATTTCCTCACAGTTCAAGTCAAAAATTGTTGGAGTTTGGGGCACTATTCAACTTGTGTTAAGGATATCTTACACAGTTCATTTCAGAAATGGTCAGAAATATAGTCACTAAAAAGAATATGTATTTGCTTACTTTACATGCCTTGGCATTTTTGTGAGCTATTATTGAACGCATTCTCCATGTGGCTGTGTACAGGAGTTCTAATCAATAAAGAAATTAACAAATCCATACAAGGAGCATTCCCCTCCCCTTCTCCACTCACTGCCCATTACCTCCTTCTCTCTCCAATCCCCACTACTCCATACACATGAGCAGTGCAATACAAGTCTGAGCATGGTGATATATACTAATGAGACACAATATACATCATTACATCATCAATGTCACATGATCATTCTCCAGCTTTTTCTGTGTTTGTTTTAGATTTCCAACATCTGCAGTATTTTGTTTTTATTATGCGTTTATCTCTTGGTTAACTGGCTGAAAAAAGTGAACCTGATGAGCTAACATTTTTTATTGCTGGCAGACCTTGAATTCCCTTGTCATTTTCATCAAATCAGTCCCTGTACCTCTTGGTGCTGTGTCTAATGCTCTAATTTAAAGTAGTTAGTACAGGAGTGTGTGTTCCCAAAGTTCTTCTGGAGTGGAATTGGCAATTGAAGTGGAATCAGGGTGTTCTATTCTGGTTTGTAAGTTTGCTTAATGTCTATCTCTACAGGATGAGGTTTGCAGGTTGTTAATTCAAAATGTCTTTGATAGGTTGTCTCTAGGTCTGTTTTTGGACTTATGCTTCAAATGGAAGTTCATGTTTGAGTGAATGAGCAATGATCTGTATGACTGTCAGCACTGGTTATCTCAGCAATATGTAGGATATCCTTTAGGTCACACTGGTACACTACCAGATGCAGGTGTTTAGAGCAGAGATATGCAATATGGTGTGGACGTGATTGTTTTTTTGCTGACAAACATGTTGGTTATGGACAGTTGCTTTTCTGCATTAAATTTTCTGCATTAAAAGAGTACTTGTCCATTTTCATTGCAGTTTCCAGCCGAATGATTTCAGGCATTCAGATCACTGTGGGGGATCCCCAGTGTGGGGGATTTCAAGACTAGCAGGCATATTTTCAAGATGAGAGGAGAAAGATTTAAAAAAAAGACAAAAGGAGCACAGAGAGTGGTTCATGTGTGGAATGCACTTCCAGAGGAAATGGTGGTTGTGCGTACTGTTACAACGTTTAAAAGAAATTTGGCTAAGTCCATGAATAAGAAATGTTTGGAGGGATATGGGCCATGTGCAGGCAGGTGGGACTAGTTTAATTTGGGATAACGGTCGGCAAGGACTGTTTGGACAAAGAGTCTGTTTCCGTGCTGTATGACTCTGACCCTCTGACCACTTAAAATGGATTGAAGACAAGCAACTGCAGAATCATATTTCTGAAGCAGTGATTATATCACTGTAAGAGATATTTGCAATACTTCAAATTTACAAGGATGTTGCTGGGTCTGGAGAGTTTGAGTTATAAGGAGAGGCTGGGACTTTTTTCATAGATCATAGAACCTACAGTGTGGATACAGGCCATTCGGCCCAACAAGTTCACACTGCCCTTCCGAAGAACATCCCACCCTGACTCATTCCCCTACCCCTGATTTCCCCATGTCTAACCCCACTAACCTAAACATCCCTGGGCACTATGGGCAATTTAGCATGGCCAACCCACCTACCCTGCACATCTTTGGACAACAGTGTACTTTTATGGGATGAATGTTGATTTACTGAATTCCTGTAAGCAAACATTAGTGATGCTAAACATCTACAATTGTTCTAGATTCTCCAGAACTTGCAATACAGGAAAAATCTCATAAGGGCACTATTATTTTTAAATGTATGAATACTTTTATTTATTAGTTCCAACAGGAGATAAGGCAATTTGACTCGGTGTGATAGTTGCAGATTTCATATGATGAAGGCACCAAGAAAATTCCCAATTAGAATTTCTGCACTAGACCTGTTTCAGGTTGGGGTAGAGATCACCTTCAATAAGGGTCAGGTAATACTATAACATAACTATCTAGTGGACTGTCCTCCTAGTCTAGCTTTGATCACCTAAGGGATTAGAGAGGAAATTTTCAGACTGTTTTCCTCAATCTGCTTGCATTTTTGCTGTCCCTTAGAATATTCCATGACATTATAAAGTTCATATAACTTTGTTTGTGTGTAATTGCAATTTTTTTTCCCTGATAAGCTCACAGTGATGATATCATAAATGTTTATTTTTGGTAAACTGGAAATAAGATGGCATCTTGATAACGTTGGTAAACTGGTAATCCAAAGGCCTAGGTTCAGTTAAGATGCCTAGGCCCAATCTCTATCTTGGCAGCTCGATTGGAATTTCAATCAATAAAGTTTAGATTTGAAAACAAATCTCACTAATGGTGACCATGAGACCATTATTGATAGCTGTAACAACCCACCTGGTTCATTAATGTCCTTTAGGGACGGAAATCAACTGTTATCACCCGCTGTGACCAACATATGACTTGAGACCTACTGAAATGCATTTAAAGATTAACTTGCCCATAAAATGATTGAGCTGACTATTCATTTCAAGGACAATTACAGATGGGCAACAAATATGTCAGTGAAATCTACAGTGAGGAATGAAAAAAAACTATGGATACAATGTTCCTCTCCCTGGAGATAGAGAGAAAAAGAAATAATTAGTGAATTCACTCTGGAAATATACCGATCCCTTTTAGCCAACTCACTAATTTATTTCTGAGCAAGAAGGTCCTTTGGAGACTTTGACTCACTTTGGCAATTAAGGCCCTTAAGTAGTCAATAAATCGTTACTTAAGGGCCTCAACATTCCACCTCCGTGATTACCTGCTTTGCCTCCAGGCGAGAAAAGTGGTTGGTTTCCTGACTAGGTAACCAGGGTGACCCGCCTACCAGGTTGGGGAGGGGGCCTCTATTTGTCCCAGTCTGGGGAAATTGGTGGCATGGCTGATAGGAAAAAGGGGTGGTTTTTGATGGCCTCTAAAAGCCACCTCCTGTTCTTGACTCTGACTTACCTCCATCCTATGAAAAATATGAGATCACTTTCTTGCTGTTGGATATCCTGTAGAATCAGTCTTTGTCAATGATCTATAGGAACTAAAAGTTGCTGTTCTCTGATTGTCCAGCAGCTTCTGATGGACTGGGATGCTACTGTTGAGATCTGCAAAAGGCCAAGACATTTGCTGGTCGGCCCTTGACATGCTGATTGGGGTGCTAAATGATTAATTTCCTTGGCAGTGAGGGCAGTGAGGTAATCAATACATAACATGCCTGGCCTCAGATTGGGTCTGGAAAATGGAAAAAGCATACCATATGATGAATCTAAATCAACCAATCATAGACACAAAATAGCATTAAACCACAGTAGGCTGTGATGCAGAAAATACTCCGATCACATGGGCCAAGCTGGATGGCCCAGAGGCTTCCTCTGATCTGTTACTTGTTGCATGTTACCGAATAGTTTATTATTACAGACCAGGGAAAAGACTGGAAAGAATTCCAGTTCATTAATAGCAGCTTGAGTAAAATCAGGAGTGTTGAGATTAACCATACTTATGGCCAGTCCTACTAGGCTCCTGTTTCAGGAAGATGAAAGGTCTGGCCAATCCCACTGCTGCCAGAAAATTTCACTGGGCTCACCTATGTTGCTTCCAATATTAAATATCCTGTGTGGCCAAATTTTTTCCGAACTCCATCTACAAATTCGCTGACAACACCACCATTGTAAGACGGATATAAACAATGACAAGACAGAATACAGGAAAGAGAGAGTGCTTGGTGGTGTAGTGTAAATATAACAACCTCTCCCTCAATGTCAGCAAAACTAAAGAGCTGATCATCGACTTCAAGAAGCAAGGAGGTGGACACACTCCTTTCTACATCAATGGAGCTGAGCTGGAGATGGTCTAAAGGGTCAAGTTCCTAGGAGTCATGATCACCAACAATCTGTCCTGGACTATCCACACAGATGCACTGGTCAAGAAGACACAACAATGCCTCTTCTTCCTCAGGGGCTAAGGAAATCTGGCATGTCCATAAGGACTTTCACCAACTTTTATAGATGCACCATAGAAAATATTCTATCTGAATGCATCACAGCCTGGTACAGCAACTGCTTTGCCCAGGACCATAAGAAGCTACAGAGTTCCAAACACAGCCCAGACCATCACGCAAGCCAACCTTCCATCCATTGACTGCACCTACACGTCTTGCTGCCTCGGAAAGGCAGCCAAAATCAAAGACTCCTCCCATCACAGTTATAATCTCTTCCAACCTCTTCCATCAGGCAGAAGATAAAGAAGTTTAAACACATGTACCGACAGGTTCAAGATCAGCTTCTTCACTGCTGTTATTAGACCCCTGAATGGATCTCTCAAATTTCAAATGCAATGTTGATCTTGATTTTTATACACCTTCTTTGCAGCCATAACTTTGTATTCCACACTCTGTTCTATCACCCGATGATTTTTGTATGGTACGATCTACCTGTACTGCATGTAAAACAAAACCTTTCACTGTACCTAGGTACATTTGACAATAATACATCAAATCAAATATCCTCCCACATCAATGTCATGTTAATACTTCTATCAAGGTCCTTTAGTCTGATAATGGGCATGAACTATGTAATCCTATGAATGAAGGGCAGTGACAATGAAGGGAGGGCAAAGAAAAGATGTTGGAATGAAAGGAATATTTCTATTGTTCTAGATTGATGTTGCTACTTTAATCCTGTTCTTTAACATTTTTCAAAAGCTGCAAAATTTACCAATACCTTTATTTTCTTCTTCCTTAGCTTTTCTTTTGGAATGCAAGTCGGGCAATGGCGTCAACTACAGAGGAACCACAACAAAAACCATTTCTGGAAGAACCTGTCAAAGATGGGACAGCAACACACCACACAAACCAAAGTCAGTCTTTAATCTCCGTTAAAATGTTCAATTTACACAGGGAAAAGGACAAACAACATTAAAACATGTAATAAATGAAATGAATGCCAAACATACTTAAATTGGATTTGTTTCTCATTTGTTTATTTTAGGGACATATTGGGTGGCATCATTTGTTAAACTTAAACCTACTTTCTCACAATGTATAAACTGCTAAAAAAAAGATATTTAAATAATTTCACAGCCAATGGATTATGTTAAAAAATGCTGTGGAGAAACAGGAGAAGCTAGGATTGTTCCCCTTACAGCAAAGGAGATCAACAGAATATTTATTGAAATGTTTAAAAATACGAAGGGCTTTGTTAGAATAAAGAGAGAAAATTGTTTCACCGACTGGAGGGTCAGTAGTCACAAGACAAAGATTTAAAATGATTGGCAAAAGAGCCAGGAAGGAGATAAGGAGAAATGTTTTTGCGCAGTGTGTTGCTATAATCTGGAATGCTGTATGAAAAAGGGTGGTGTAAGTGATCACTTCAAAAATCACTTTTAAATAGGAATTGGATAACTTGTTCACGAGGACTGGACAATGGAATAATTATGCTGTAAACTCTTTGACTCTCCATAAAAATAGTTACCCCCTAACGGAGTGGCAAGAAATGCAGAATTCACAAACAGATATGGCCCCAAATACTTATATCATTGAGGGAACTTTGCAACAAAGGAGCATGTAAGGAGGAAAAACACAGAATAAATTTTCTGCTAGTCACCAGAGATAGAAAAGACTTGTATATCACCCCCGATGACTTCACCCTGTTATAAATCATCGCAGGCAATTCAGAATTTTTGAAATCTAGTCGCTGTTGCAATCTGGGAAACACAGCAATAAATTTGAGCTCAGCAGGCTCCCACAAACAGCAATGACTAGATCATATATTTTAGGTCATGGAAATAAGGTGGACCTAGGCTGTAGAGAGATTAGAATACAAGGATAAGAGGTATTGTTTTGTTTTGTACCTCAGAGATATGCAGAAATGAGAGATCAGTTTCTATTTTTAAAGGGAGTCTTATTTGCAGTGCTTATAAAATGTTGCTTTGGCTTAGTTTCTGTTGCACTCTGCAAACACAACCATGTAGGCTTGACTAATTGCACACAGCAAATAATGAAGAGTGAGCAGACACACATATTGAACAATTGAATAATAGATCATTGGTGGGTGTCTTTTAATTTCCGATGATTCTTGTAAACGTTTGTGCCCCAATCCTTTGATACAATTGCAGCAGGGGAGCAGGTTGGGATCCGGAAGTGGAAATTTGCAATCATATTGAACTATGAATAGGTTATTTGGCCCCACAAACCTGTTCTGCAATTCAATAAGATCGTAGTTGATCCAGTTGTGCCCTTAATTCCACTTTTCTGCCAATCCCTGACACACTTATTAGTTAACAATCTAGCTACTCTCCCTTAACAACATTCAATGACCCTTCTTTCCCTGCTCTCTGGGGAAGAGAATCCATTGGCTTATGACATTCTAAGGGGAACAAAAATTCTCCTCATCTCCATCTTAAATGGGAGACACCTTATTTTTAAATTGTGACCTAGTTCTAATTTATCCCAGCATCCACCCTGACAAATGCCCTCAAAATCATACATGTTTCAATAAGATTGCCTCACATTCTTCTAAACTTTAAATGGATACAGGCCCAACTTATAGAGTCACAGAGTTTTACAGCACAGAAAGTGAACCATCAGCCCATCATATTTATGGCAGTTATCAACCACCTATCTGCTCTAGCTCCATTTCCCAGCACTTGTCCTGTCCCATTGTATGCTATGGTGTTTTAAGAAGTCATCTAAATACTTGTTAAATGTAGTGATGGTTTCCTCCTCCACCATCCTTTCAGGCAGTGAGTTCCAGATACTCATTTCCCTCTGGGTGAAGATATTTCTCCTTAAAATCCTTTGAAATCTCCCGCACCTTTAGCTTAAATCTATGCCCTGTAGTTATTGAACCCTCTGCTAAGGGGAAAGATTTCTCCTAATCTTTGACACTCAGAACTTTGCATACCTCAGCCAGGTGCTCCCTTAGCCTTCTCTACTGTAAGGAAAACTGTACCTGTCTAGTCTGTCTTCATTGCTGAATTGCTTCTCCTTCAGCCCAGGCAACATTCTGATGAATTTCTTCTGCACCCTCCCTAGTTTCTCCCTGTCTACTCTTTTCAGCCCCCTATCATCTGCAAACTTTGAAATTGTGCCCTGCAGACCATGGTCTAGGTCAATATTATAAATCAGGAAAAGCATAGGTCCCCCATTACCCCCTGGGTAATTTCACTACAAACATTCCTCCAACCCAAACGACATCCATTAACCAGAACTCTTTGTTTCCTGTCATTCAGCTAATTCAGAATCCACATTACTATTGATACTTTCACTCCATGAGCTGTAACTTTGATCACAAGCCTGTTGTGTGGCCTTGTATCAGATGCCTTTTAGTGAAATGCCTTTTACGTACATCACATCAACAGCATTGACCCCATCAATTCTCCCCATTATCTCTTCAAATACTTTTGGTAAATTATTTAAATATGAATTTTCATTAGGAATTCCATGTTAGCTTTCTTTATTTAATCCGCATTTGCTATGTAACTATTAATTTTCTCCCAAAGTATTGGTTCTAGAGCTTACACCACTTATGTCATAACCTGTGATGTGACACTTCGTCAAGTGCCTTCTGGAATTCACAAATTCCCCATTATCCACATTATCCATTACTACTGGAAAAAACTTAAATAATTAGTTAAGTATGATTTTCTTTTCATAAAACCAAGTTGACTCTGCCTGACTGCATTGATTTTTTTCTAAGTAATTGCCTCCTTAATTATAGATTGCAGAAATTTCAGAATATGACAGATACTAAGCTAATCGGCCTGTAGTTTCTTGCTTTCTGCCTCCCTTCTTTCTTGAATAGAGGAATTACATTTGTTATTTTTTTAATCTGATGGGACATTTCTTAGGAAATATCTGCTATCTCACCAGCTGCTTATTTAAAGAACCTAGTTTGAGATCCAGTAGGATCTGAGAACATGTACGCTTTTAGTTACAATAATTTCCTCAGTAACCTCTTCATGATGATTGTAATTGCTTTAATTTCTCATTCTTTAACTTTCTTATTTATACATATTTCCAAGATGTTTTATGTGTCTTCTACAAAGAAGGATGACGCACAATGTCTGTTCAATTCATCCACCATTTCCTTATAATCCATTATTAATTCCCCAGACTCAATCTATAGAGGACTATCATTGATGTAACTTACATTTTTCCTTTTTAAATACCTATAGAAACTTTTATTATCTGTGTTATTTTTCCATCTAGCTTTTTATTGTATTCTAATTTCTACCTCATTAGCCGTTCAAATGTTATTTGCTGTTTCTCTTCTTGGCTAATCTTCTCACATGATTCCAATCTTCATGGAATTGTGCACTTCTTTTTCAATTTGATACAATCTTTAACTTCCTTAATTGGCCATTCCCGGGGAAGACATGTAAAAGAGGAATCTTGGTCTTGTGTCTAGCAGCACAAATTGATTTTTATTCAATGATAGTAAGAACTGCAGATGCTGGAGTCAGAGATAACACAGTGTGGAGCTGGAGGAACACAGCAGGTCAGGCAGCTCTTTACCAACAGAACGTGGGAGAGGTCCTTGAAAACAGTTTCATTAGAACGTAAAAAATAAGATCAGGAGTAGGCCATCTGGCCCATTGATCCTGCTCCTCCATTCAATAAGATCATGACTGATCTTTTCAGGGAATCAACCCCACTTACTGCCCACTCACCATGACCCTTAGTTCCTTTACAATTCAAAAATCTATCTATCTTTGCCTTAAAAGCATTCAGCAATGTAGCCTCAACTGCTTCACTGGGCAGGGATTTTCACAGATTCACAGCCCTTTGGGTTGTTCCTCCTCAGCTCAGTCCTACTGCTCCCCCTTATTTTGAGGCTATGCACCCTAGTTCTAGTTTCACCCGCCAGTGGAAACAACATCCCTGCTTCTAGCTTATCTATTCCTTTCATAATTTTATTTGTTTCTATAAGATACCATTCTTCTGAATTCCAATGAGCATTGTCCCAGTCTACACAGTTTGCAGCAAACACTCTCAATTCCAGAATCAACCTAGTGAACCTCCTCTGCATCCCCTCCAGTGCTACTACATCTTTTCTCAAGTAAAGAGATCAAAACTGTACACAGTACTCTAGGTAAGGCCTCTCCAGCACCCTATACAGCTGCAGCATAACCTTCTTATTTTTAAACCTTATCTCTCTAGCAATGAAGATCAATATTCCATTTGCCTTCTTAATTACCTGCTGTACCTGCAAACCAAGTTTCCACCAGACACTCTGCCTCTCTCAGCCAACTACAGCATATTTATACATTCCACATTATAGGAATTACATGCAACGTTTTGATGTCATTGTTAGCCACATCCTCCTAATCTACTCATTCAATCCCGTAAAAACACAATCTATGATGGACAACTCTATGGACAGCATTAGGTCCTCCCAAGATCTCATGATGTTTACCAGACACCTTCATCACCTGTCTTTTGGGAAATTACAATGCATCTTTTTCAATCACATTCCAATACTGGCAGTTATAATTCTTCCCAGATATTTGTCAGCTGCATCACGTTAATTGCCAATAAACTGGATAGTTGCTTATCACTAATGACATTTTCAAATTCTGTTGTACAATTTATGTTCTCTACTAACTATATTACAAGAGATACAAAAAGGATGCTAATTTCTGCGAATTGTTATAAAATTTGTAATTTCAGATCCAGTATAAAATTATACAGTTACACCTAATGTTATAATTCTTTGACAAAGCTGACAAGTTGGGGAGCAACTTCTCTATCTCTCAACATTGGTAGATCAAACAAACAATGCCTTTGTCTTCCAATTTTGGCAAGTTACATGCTTCAAATTGGTTTTAAACAGAAATTTGAGATGAACTTTACTGTCGCTATTCTAAATACTTT